GATGGAGAACGAGACCGGAAGAGACCGAGAGATGGAGAGACATCGAAAATGGGAGAGGGGGAAAGAGAGACAGGGAAAGATAGAGGGCGATGTAAGGGGCAACAAAGTTAAAAAAAAAAAAAGAGACATGAAGTGATACAGAGGGTAAGAGACAGGGAGATACACAGACAGGAATATGGTGTGGGGTAGGGGATGAGAGAAACGAGAGAAAGAAGTGAAAAAGAGGAGAGACAAGTAGGGGCAGGGAAAGGAGGCAGAGGCAAATAGAATTAGAAAGAGAGACAGAAGGAGAACTGAAGAGGAAATTTAAAAAAAGAGGGAGATGGAAAAGAGACAGGAAAATGAAAAAAAAAAAGAAAGATCTGAACTGATGGAAGACTTACGGCAGAAAGTATAACAATTAAAAGAGCTGAAATTATGAAGATTTATGACAGAAAGTACAACAATAAAAGAGTTGAAATGATGGTGACTTGCGACGACAGAAGGTACAACAACAAAAGAGCTGAAATTATGGGATACATAACAAACGTACAACAACAAATGAGCTGAAATGATGGGAGACATGACAAACGTACAACAAATGAGCTGAAATTATGGGAGACATGACAAACGTACAACAACAAATGAGCTGAAATGATGGGAGACATGACAAACGTACAACAACAAATGAGCTGAAATGATGGGAGACATGACAAACGTACAACAACAAATGAGCTGAAATGATGGGAGACGTGACAAACGTACAACAACAAAAGACCTGAAATGATGGGAGACATGACAAACGTACAACAACAAAAGACCTGAAATGATGGGAGACATGACAAACGTACAACAACAAAAGAACCTGAAAATGATGGGAGACATGACAAACGTACAACAACAAAAGACCTGAAATGATGGGAGACATGACAAACGTACAACAACAAATGAGCTGAAATGATGGGAGACATGACAAACGTACAACAACAAAAGACCTGAAATGATGGGAGACATGACAAACGTACAACAACAAAAGACCTGAAATGATGGGAGACATGACAAACGTACAACAACAAAAGACCTGAAATGATGGAGACATGACAAACGTACAACAACAAAAGACCTGAAATGATGGGAGACATGACAAACGTACAACAACAAAAGACCTGAAATGATGGGAGACATGACAAACGTACAACAACAAAAGACCTGAAATGATGGGAGACATGACAAACGTACAACAAAAGACCTGAAATGATGGGAGACATGACAAACGTACAACAACAAAAGACCTGAAATGATGGGAGACATGACAAACGTACAACAACAAAAGACCTGAAATGATGGGAGACATGACAAACGTACAACAACAAAGGACCTGAAATGATGGGAGACATGACAAACGTACAACAACAAAAGACCTGAAAAATGGGAGACATGACAAACGTACAACAACAAAAGACCTGAAATGATGGGAGACATGACAAACGTACAACAACAAAAGACCTGAAATGATGGGAGACATGACAAACGTACAACAACAAAAGACCTGAAATGATGGGAGACATGACAAACGTACAACAACAAAAGACCTGAAATGATGGGAGACATGACAAACGTACAACAACAAAAGACCTGAAATGATGGGAGACATGACAAACGTACAACAACAAAAGAGCTGAAATGATGGGAGACATGACAAACGTACAACAACAAAAGAGCTGAAATGATGGGAGACATGACAAACGTACAACAACAAAAGACCTGAAATGATGGACACTTACGAGCGTAAGGCGGCTCAGCTGCTGTTTCCAGATAGTAGGATACGTTCTGTTTGTTGGGATCTATATATTTGTCTGCGTAGAATCCCATGCGTGAGCATCCAGCATCGCCGCAGCTTTGGCACCGACCGCCCTAGGAAGATTATGGTTAGTTCTTTAAAAAGGATACACCAATAGCCCTTATTGTAAACAGGTTTACGCACAAAACTAAAGTTCTGGAACTAGACTAGACTCTAGAAGTGGACGAACAACCAGAGCTGTAAGCTAAAGTTTACAGCCAGTTAACGCCAAGAAGACGAACATACCTATACATAGACATATAAAAATATGTTTACGTATGTGCCCAGATCACGGTTCAAAAGCCAACTGGTCTTTAGACATCATGAATATGTCCCTGTGTGCTTGATTCAGAAATGCGTAAAAAAAAAAAAAACAACAACTGCTCTGCGGTTTGATTCTGTTATGTTTGTGCTGCATGTAAGAATATGTGTCTAAACCATAGGCGCTGCAACATAGGGTTGCAGGTAGCTGGAGCTCCCCTCCCTCCTGTCTTAGATTTCTTAGTTCTTAGATAAATTGTGCCCTGACCCCCTAGAAAACTGCCAACGCGCTGAGTAGTCCCTTTAACGATCTAGACATGCGCCCTGTTTATGCAATCGCTTGTAAATTTCCATTCATTTCAGATTTTTAATTACTGTTAACTGACATTTACCATATACTAAAACAAATTAAATAGCATTTTTGTGGAAATAACATGGATTGACGCCCGCAAAGGTGCCTGAGCAACCCCTCCCCCCACCCCCCCCCCCCGCGCCCCTGCCTCCACAAAAAAAAATATTTTCTGTTGGTGTGCTTTGTCTACTCAACACACACACACACACACACACACACACACACACACACACACACACACACACACACACACACAAACAAACACGTTGTCACAAAGGTATCTTGAAAGTAGTCTTGTATAGTGACTTTAGTTTGTTGGTTTGGACAGTAGACCATTTTGCATGTTTTTTGTTCTGTTGTTGTTGCAACAACGGAATGACCATCCAACCGTCGAGGGAAAAAGCGAAAACTGTTCAAAGCAAAATTGCAAAGTTAAACAAACCCATCAACAGCTAGCAAATATTGTCTAACGAAACATAAAATAAAAGTGTAAGTCAACATAAAATAACAGTGTAAGTAAAAAAAAAAAAAATAACAGTGTAAGTAAAACATAAAATAACAGTGTAAGTAAAACATAAAATAACAGTGTAAGTAAAATACAAAATAACAGTGTAAATAACACGTAAAGTAGCAGAGTAACCCGTAAAACAAAGTGTAAGTAAAACATAAAATAACAATGTAAGTAACACGTAAAATAGCAGTGTGAGTAACCCGTTAAACAAAGTGTAATTAAAATATAAAATAACGGTGTAAGTAAAACATCAAAAACAGTGTAAGAAACACGTAAAAAACAATGTAAATAAAACATAAAAACAGTGTAAGTAACACGTAAAATAACAGTGTAAGAAAAACACAAAAATAACAGTGCAAGTAAAACATAAAATTACAGTGTAAGTTAAAAAAAAAAATAAAAAAAAAAAAAAAACCATTGTAAGTGAAACGTAAAAAAAAAAACCAGTGTAAGTAGAACAATAAAAAAAGTTAGTAAAATATAAAATAATAGTGCAAGTAAAACCTAAAATAACAGTGTAAGTAACACGTAAAATAACAATGTAAGTAACTCGTAAATTAACAGTATGAGTAACACGTAAAACAACAGTGTGAGTAACACATAAATTACAGTTTAAGTAAAACATAAAATAACAGCATAGGTAAAACATAAAATAACGTAAATAAAATATAAATTAGCTGTGTAAGCCAAACATGAAATAACAGTGTAAGTAACACGTAAAATAACAGTATAAGTAAAGTATAAAATAACAGTGTGAGTAACACGTAAAATAACAGTAAACACATAAAATAACAGTGTAAGTCAAACATAAAATAACAGTGTAAGTAACACGTAAAATAACAGTGTAAGTAAAACATAAAATAACAGTGTAAATAACACGTAAAATAACAGTGTAAATAAAACATAAAATAACCGTGTAACTCAACCATAAAATAACAGTGTTAGTAACAGATAAAATAACAGTGTAAGACATAAAATAACAGTGTAAGTATTATGTAAAAAAAACAGTGTAAGTAAAACTGAAATAACAGTGTGAATAAAACATAAAATAACAGTGTAAGCAAAATATTAAATAACAGTGCAAGGAAAACATTAAATTTAGTTCAGTTTTATCATTTGCAAGAGAAAGATGAAGAACAAATAAAGTTTTGGAACGAAAGTAAAATGTATTCCAAAGCCAATGCTTGCAGAAAATTATGAAAATATAACTGGATGAATTCAAGAGGAGTGAATAAGTAAGAGCAATGTCTTAGCAACCAATGGTATCAACAGTTATAAGACAGGAAAGATGACGCTACATTGGACACATTCTAAGAAGAGACGGGCGGAGTATCACCAAACAGAAACTAAACTGGGAAATAGAGAGACTGGGGACACAAGGATGTCTGAGAGAAACCCTTTGGCCAAGATGATGAGAGAGGCCAAAGGTGCTCGACTGGATTTCATCCATGTTATCGAACTGATTGAACGGGTCGAAGGAACAGATGGCGACAACCAAACAAAAAATGAAAAAACACAAGGAATGTGACGCTACAGTGAACATAGAATCAATAAACAGACAGTGTATTGGGAAACACATAGCCTGAAGAAACGTGACGTCCAAGATAAACAGTAAAGCCGACGTTGACAAAATAGGTTAAGATGCCGGACTGAATTTAACCCATAATGTTCAAACTACTGCACGGGAAAGAAGTGATTGCAACAATAACCTGCTAGTTCTGCATGGTCTATAATGACACAAACGTATGCTAATGATGATGAAGATGATGATGATGGTGATGATAAAGAGTCGATTTCTCAGCTAAACATTCACAGTCGCCCAACTACTGAGTTAAGTCCATGGTACGACACTGTGAGCTCTGTAATCTATGGGACATTTTTTTAAAACTTTTGAAATCAGGTGCCCGTTACTTGTCAAAGCGTTATATTTCACAAAGTGACAATTTCTATTTTACTGTTATTATCTTCCATATAGAGTATTTCTCCCGTAGTGATTATTTCTCCTGACACGAGGCTGCTGGAAAAGATCTTTTGGTAGTCTTTTTTCTTGTTCTTCTAGTTATTTTGTCCTTGTTCTTCTTGTTCTTCTTGTTCTTGTTCTTTCTCTTCTTCTTCTTCTTTTCTTCTTCTTCTTCTTCTTCTTCTTCTTCTTCTTCTTCTTGTTCTTCTTCTTCTTCTTCTTCTTCTTCTTCTTCTTCTTCTTCTTCTTCTTCTTCTTCTTCTTCTTCTTCTTCTTCTTCTTCTTCTTCTTCTTCTTCTTCTTCTTCTTCTTCCTCCTCCTCCTCTTCTTCTTCTTTTTCTTCTTGTTCTTCTTGTTCTTTTTCTTCTTCTTCTTCTTCTTCTTCTTCTTCTTCTTCTTCTTCTTCTTTCTTCTTCTTCTTCTTCTTCTTCTTCTTCTTCTTCTTCTTCTTTCTTCTTCTTCTTCTTCTTCTTCTTCTTCTTCTTCTTCTTCTTCTTCTTCTTCTTCTTCTTCTTCTTCTTCTTCTTCTTCTTCTTCTTCTTCTTCTTCTTCTTCTTCTTCTTCTTCTTCTTCTTCTTCTTCTTCTTTCTTCTTCTTCTTCTTCTTCTTCTTCTTCTTCTTCTTCTTCTTCTTCTTCTTCTTCTTCTTCTTCTTCTTCTTCTTCTTCTTCTTCTTCTTCTTCTTCTTCCTCTTGTTCTTGTTCTTGTTCTTCTTGTTCTTCTTCTTCTTGTTCTTCCTCCTCCTCCTCTTCTTCTTTTTCTTCTTGTTCTTGTTCTTCTTTTTCTTTTTCTTCTTCTTCTTCTTCTTCTTCTTCTTCTTCTTCTTCTTCTTCTTCTTCTTCTTCTTCTTCTTCTTCTTCTTCTTCTTCTTCTTCTTCTTCTTCTTCTTCTTCTTCTTCTTCTTCTTCTTCTTCTTCTTTTCTTTCTTCTTCTTATGTTCAATACTTGACGCTCAGTGGAAAGGCACGACGAACATACAATCAGAATGATGTTGAAACCACTGGTATTGGAACTCTTCGCTGACTGCTGAAGATGGGATGGAATGCTTAAGGGAATACCATGAGTGCTGTTATATCGATTCTTGAATTACGTCACCTCAACTCTTCTTCTTTGACATTGTCATCGTCATCCACGTCGTCGCCGCCTTCATCGCATCTCTTCGTATCCCTTTCTGTATTTCAGCTGTAAACTCTGGCTTAACTGTGTGCAGACTGATGTTTCCTGGCCTCTCAGGCAGATTCAATCCGAATTCCAAGGAAAAACACTTATTAAGCCGACTTTTACGGCATCATGCTTTGTTAGGAAACAGTGGATCTATTTATACCCCCCCCCCCCTTTTTTTCCCCCCCCCCCCCCCACCCCGCGTTTACAGTGGAGCTACGAAATTCATACAGGAAATCTTCTGATGGCGAAAGACTGTCGAGAACTCACCTTAAAGTCTGACTCACTGTTACACGGGAACGAATTGAACTGGTTCTTCGGGTCGATGCTGCTGATGTAATATTGATGTGCTCTGCTATGGCTACAGGACGGATAATTACTAATACCTGGATGAGAAGGATTACAGAATATACAGGATTATTCAAAACGATGGATAAACTTTCATTCCTGTATATTTTCTTGAATATGCGTTGCATATATAATTATATACGCAGCAGCGACAGAGAGAGAGAGAGAGAGAGAGAGAGAGAGAGAGAGAGAGAGAGAGAGAGAGAGAGAGAGAGAGAATTCTAAAGTATAGAAACTTACAGCAGAGGCTATAAATGTTCACTATGACCGCAAACATCTAAGCGGGAGCCGAACTTATCCTAAACACACAGAAGCATCTCTTACGTAACTGAGTTCACTGCAGCTGTGAAATAGTTCTGCAGGTCCGCCAGAGATTTTAGTAGCTGTAGAATTCGAAACTTTAGACCATCCTGTCTCTCTTGCATGTATATTATTTTTGCTCTGGTACTATTCTTGTTCTCAGGTCGACCCAGTCTGAATAGGGACCAGGAAATGCCTAGGGAAGTAATGGCGGTTGGCGTGATGTTCACAACATTACCAATTTACAGATTTCAAACTAGGATTACAGACAGCCGGCTGACCGCTGATGTTTGGAAGAGAACTTTTCCCCGTTTATTTTTTGTTTGTTCCCGCATACGCCTTTGCGTGTGCAACGACGGCTTTTGTGACTGACTATTTCCGCTAGCATTGAGCTATAACTCTGGTGTGGGACCGTTAGTGTTCGCTTATCTTACAGCTGTCTTATGCGTCTTTGCTTTGCATGTGCAAACTTCAAGATTGTGCTGGTACTAACCAGTTTTGTTTTTTTTTTTTAAACGAGGTTTCAAATAAGGCGGCGAGGGATGTTTTATGTAATTTCTAATGTACTAAGAACAGAGCAACTATGAGGGCAACCCGACTGCAGTGAACAGCTATGGGGGCAACCCGACTACAGTGAACAGCTATGGGGGCAACCCGACTGCAGTGAACAGCTATGGGGGCAACCCGACTACAGTGAACAGCTATGGTGGCATCCCGACTAAAGTTATGTTCGAACGTCGACTATCCACTCACCGTTTGGCTAGCGTTTGTTCTATTTTTTTTTAAAGGTATCTATGACCACTGCATTATTGGAAGTAATGGGTACTTTGGACTTTAAAAAAAAAAATGTTTGTGATGTCTTCATTGCCAAATGAAGCTGACCCAGCTTTGTGAAACCTTGCATGAATTTATTTAAATATACCACAGATAGGTTAGTTGTGTATCCTTTACAGGACGTTGCAGAATCAACCCTAAACGCCCCTGGCTATTGTGTGGTTTTTCTAGGCAAATTTACGTCCAGTAGTTTGCCTTTGCTTTCTGAAACCACATATAACGGTCTATAAAATATATAGTCGGCCTTATTTGTCCAGTGCGCGTGAAGGCGTTGACAATTTGTACGTTTCTTGACTCATATATATATATATAAAGGACTTATACCAATAAAGGAGAAGGACGTTGAGCAAGAGGTAGACCAAGTCTACACACCTTTGATAAAACTACTGTGTCTAAATACCTTAATAAAAAAACCTACCATGTCTACATACCTTGATAAAACTACTGTGTCTACATACCCTGATTTAAAAAAAACTACCGTGTCTACATACCCTTGATGAAGCTATCGTTTCTACATACCTTTGATAAAACTACAGTGTCTACATACCTTTGACAAAACTACAGTGTCTACATACCTTTGATAAAACTACAGTCTCTACATACCTTTGACAAAACTACAGTGTCTACATACCTTTGACAAAACTACAGTGTCTACATACCTTTGATAAAACTACAGTGTCTACATACCTTTGACAAAACTACAGTGTCTACATACCTTTGACAAAACTACAGTGTCTACATACCTATGATAAAAAAAACTGCTGTGTCTACATACCTTTAATTAAAAAACTAGTGTCTTCATACCTTTGATAAAACTGCCCCGTCTACATACTTTTGATAAAACAATTTTGTCTACGCACCTTTGCTAAAACCACTTGCGTCTTGTTGCGCATACATACCTTTGCTAAAACCACTTGCGTCTTGTTGCGCATACATACCTTTGATAAAACCACTTGCGTCTTGTTGCGCATACATACCTTTGCTAAAACCACTTGCGTCTTGTTGCGCATACATACCTTTGATAAAACCACTGTGTCTACTTAATATTTCTTACACGTCACTGCAGAACCAAACCATTCATTTTTTTGCTCTTGTAGATTTTTTAAGGCAAAGGTTTCCTTCAGTAGTGCGCCATTGCTTTCTGCCTACTTGAAAGCTCCCTTTCTCCACTATGTCTACTTACCTTTGCAAAAACCACTGCGTCTACATACCCTGAATCATAGGCGTGGGAAAACGTTAAGAACTTTGAGGAGATACTCCGTAGCCATACTCGGGATACAGATATCTTTTTTTATATATTCTTAAACTGCGTTGGCAGCGTTTTCGCAGTTTGTGGCCCTTAGAGATGCAATGTTCACAAATCCACATTGAACATGAATCCCGCCAGCCCACCTTCAAAGCAAAGGTGTGAATGTCCTTAGAAAAATCATTTGGAATACGAATGAAGACTGGTGGCCGAATACCCTAGTTTATGACAAACCTTGATTCATTGTTTATCAACCGAAAGTCCTCGTTAACTGTGTTATTAGCCTCAAATCTCTGTCAGTCAAGTATCTTATGGCACAATAGCAACGTTTTAGATGTCTGACCATCGATGTTCTTACTGTGAGACAGACAATATTTAAAAGTCTCACAGTAAAATGTCCTACTGTGTGACAGACAGTATTTTAAAGTATCTGCTACTACTGGCCCCAACTCATCTGAGTGTCAGTAGCAATAGTTCGTCTGCCACATATCCTACAGTTCGATAGACAAGGCTCTGATGTCCAGCTGTACGTTGCCCTTCTCTTTGACAAATAGGTTCAAATGTCCACTACCACTGGTCGCACTCGTCAGAGTGTCTGGACACAACAGTTCAGCCATTCTTGATGCATGCTTTTTCTTTACAGTCGTGCCAAGTGTGCCGAGGCAACACCATTAAAGGTGTCAAACGTGGTGAAGATTGTTGTGCCTATTTGTGTGGTTATTAAAGTCTAGACCTGAGGGCTTCTCCCTTTGGATGTCCAGAGATCAGTGGGAAGCTCAAGCTAGCTGTGTGAGGTTAACCTGTCATGTGCAGAACGTAACGACTCATTGGCCGAGCTTAGGTCCAGAGCCTCATGAGCCGGCTCTGCATTTATGGAAGCCTCCTTGAATGTCGCGGGATGCCGAAGATCTGTCTCTGCGTCTCCCGGGGTTTCGTCCTGTCTACGCACTGTCGCCCGTCACAACGCCTGTAGATGAAGGCACAAAGAAGACGCCGCACAAATAAATCTGCGTAATGTTCCACGAAACCAACCAGAAAGGTTAACATGTGAGAAAATGCCTGACGAGGTCTGGTATTTTTTTTACCAAAAGGGCGCAAATATCGCAGCTATTCTGAACGAACGAACAATTGTGACCATCATACCTGAGATACCCTTTAATATAGCTGAGACCAGATCACATCCCGGCTGATTGCGCCCTCCGTTGGGATAGAAGTCAGCATGACCGCTGGAGTCAGTGGTGCCAATACCTGCATGGCAAAGATATCAAACTTGCAAGATACAGCTGTCACAAACTGTTTTATGGAACTGTCAAAACATGCTAGATACAAATGTCAAAACACGCAAGACACAAATGTCAAAGCCTGCAATAGACAATAGTGGATAATGAGGAATCCCTGACACTAACACAATTGTGTGACATGGGAGTAAAGCATGATGAAGCACGTCTGTGCCGTCTTCGAGGCCGAGATAGGAGTCACTATAAGCAGCTTTTCATGGGAACAAAATTAGTCGCAGCTTTTTCTTTTCTAACAGAGGTTGTAATGAGGCGGAACTAGGAGGTTTTCTGTGAGGCGGGGTCCTAGTTGCTAGGGAGGGAGGGGAAGCAGTTGTAGTGACAGGTCAGGGGAAGAGGTTGGCGAAGGCCAAGTCACGAAGTAAGATCAGCGCTTCGAAACAAGGCACAGTAAGTTGAAAAATAAAAGGTAATTTTAATAATTTCATAAATAACGTCTACATTATGTGAAATTCAACGTTCTCTTAAGGGTAAGAGGACACAGAATCTGTGGCGTTAAAGTAAGTAACATATTATGGCAAACGCGAGAATTCTAGTGGGCAAAATCAGTTGTCTGTCAACATGATGGTAAGCAAAATACATTAAAGAGGAATACTGAAGCCCACCAAAGAATGAGTGAATGAATGAATGAAGAGGAAATACATAGCTAGAATCGAATGAATGAATACGAATGAATCCTAGCAGATCCTAATTCAACCTCTCTGGACTCTGTATTTATCAATCCCTCTCTTTCTGTAGAAGTCTCCAGTTATGTTAATCGACCACAAAGAATCGATTTGTTCGCTAGTCTCATACTGAATGGGTAATACCAGCATTAATCACCCCATCCCTGTTGCGAGATTCCTCAATGAATTGAGATAGTCTTCCATAGTCTGGGGGTCTACGAAATCCGTTCCCCCCCCCCCCTTTTCCACTCAACGGGTCGAAGTTTAGTCTTTTGGTCCGTATGGGTTCACCTGTCTGACAAAAATTTCAGCTTGTACTGTCTATCAGATCCCTGACAACTATCTTTTGTGAACGTCTATTTTATAGGGTTAAAGTAGCTCATCGCAAAGAGGAGCGTCAGCGGCCATTTATGGCGAAGCCTCATGGTTAATCTCGCACGAAATAAGGCAAAATCCTGAGAAAAAAAACAGAATTTTAATCCATCATAAATAAGAATGTGAATTCAACGTTCCTAAAGAGGTCACAGAATCTGTGGCGTTAAAGTAAGTAACCACTATTGCAAACGCAGTTTCTACGCAAAATCAGTTATCTGTCACATGATGGTAAGCAAAATACATTAAAGAGGACCAATACAAAGAATGCAAGAATGATTGAGCTGAATGAATCTTTCAATAATTGAATGAATGAATGAAAATGAACGAATTACTGAATGAATGAATGAATGAATCCAATCAATTACTGGATGTAGTTACATCAGGTGCTAGACTGTTGTCGTCTTCTCACAGTAATCAACGAAGCTCGATTTGTTTAGTACCGTTTCAAGGAGACATATACCCATCCCTCATCATCAGCCACCGGGTCGCTTACTGGCTCGCCGGTAGACGTCGTCGTCGCCGGTTCGGGACAGTATTTGGGTCTTTCAATCGATGGATTCCCATCTTGTTCTCTTGTTCTAACTCAGGGCTCTTCGTGCAATGTCATGCCATCTTATAAGGCGCAATGTAACCATCGCCAAGAATTGTCAACCTAATTCTTTCCCTTCATGGATGCTCGCACACCTGAAAATCCTGGACAGAAAATCCATGATAAGAAGCTGCTTTTTTATTTAACTTATTTATTTTTAATTCCTTCTTTCTCCCGTTTCAAAGCTATTTGCATACTAAACCAATTTTCTTTTAAATTACCGTTAAAAACAGATTTGGCCATGTTTGTATGTATGACGTCGACACGAACGGCGTCAGATGGATCCAGTCGTACCACCGGGCTTGTGCCCGTGTATCTTGGACCACACGGATCAAGACCTGCAAAAAATTCATAAATAATACCCTGTAGGAAAGCACACATCGTGACAACTGGAAAGATCAGTGGAAAAAGGGGATAGAGGCAGACCAAGAGAGACGATGATGAATGGGCTAAAACGATGACATGGAGGGATATCATCAAGACAGCTGTTCCAGACAACCAAGGATCGTGATCTGTGGGGACGCATGTACGCCTACACCAGTTGGCAGGGCACATGATGATGATGATGAGGAAAGCACTTATATAATATACAACCTTTTCCAGTTAAATGTTCAGTTTAATGTTATTTCACTACCAACAGATGCAAGTGAAAGTTGGAGAACCACTAAAGACATGCAACGAAAGTTAAATGTCTTTGAAAAAAAAAAATGTTTGAAGAAAGTGATGAAAATAAAATCGGATAAATTCAGAAGGAGTGAAGAAAAAAGAGAAATGTACGGGCAACC